AGATTGGCGTGCCCGCCCTCGCTAAGGAGCAGTTCCCATTTTATCTACTCGCCGAAGCTTTCGAATCGCTGGGTGGACGATGAGCTGGGGACAACAGGCTGGCTGCTCACACCAGCGCGGGGCTTGAACTAACACAGTTCAGATGTTAAGGCAGTGGGATATACCCACTGTGCCACCAAGCCCTTGTTTCCAAGCGTATCAAATTGGCTTCCAAACAAATGGCAGCATAAGGAACACATGGAGGCAGCCCTAGTATTTTCCTCACAAAATTGGATTGAAGTTTTGTTAAAAGCAGTGATCCAAACAGGCACCCCATAAAGAAGTTTTGCTCCAATTTTATGCTCAAACACTTTTAGGGCCGCAGGAACATAATGATGACCCTTGGTAAAAAAAAAAAGGGTTATTGCTAGCACACAGCAATTCGCAGCTTTAATTGCTTCTGATCTGTATGCTACCCACCTAGCACTATGGTGAAAATTAATTCCCAAATATTTAAAACTCTTCACCTGTTCAATGGCTTTACCCTTAACACGCCAATTGATAGGTTTCCAGGAATCTCCGAACACCATTATTTTAGTTTTGTCAAAATTCACGGATAACCCGTTCATCTCGCAATATTCTATAAAGTGTGCTAACAACCTCTTTATCCCTACTTCAGACCTAGAAAGAATTACAGCATCGTCTGCATACAATAGCAGGGGCACCGGGCGCGAGCTCAAAATTGGGCTGTGTCCATCAATCCCCTCTAGCCCCTTGCCCAAATCATTTTTAAAAAGGTTAAAAAGGAGGGGAGCCAATACACAGCCCTGCTTAACCCCTATATTGATGGAAATTTTCGGGGTTAAATCATCATCCCTCGAGCCTCTTACTTGACAAGTAGTATCTGTATATAGTTTCTTGATCAAAAGGAGCAATCTCATGTCAATTCCCAACAGCCTTAACTTCTTCCATAGCAGCTCCCTTGAAACAGTATCGAAAGCACTCTTCAGATCTAGAAAGGCAGAGTACAACTTGTCCCCTTTCCCTTTTTTGTATTTATTCACTAAGTGTCTTAACACAATGCAGTGATCCAAAGTTGACTTCCCTTGACAGAATCCTGCTTGCTCTATACCTAAAAAAATTTGTTCTGCCATCCAGGCCTTAATTTTGAACGCCAGATGGCTTGCATAGAGTTTCCCTAAAATGGAGAGCAAGCTGATGGGCCTAGAATTACTAAGCGATCTACAGTCACCTTTTTAAAAAATTGGTACTATAATAGCATTTGTCCATGCTTCAGGTATTATACCTGTCCTATCTATAAAGGTAAAGGTTCCCTTGCTCGAAAGCCAGTTGAATCCGACTCTAGGGTTGCAGTGCTCATCTCCGTTTCAAAGCCGAAGAGCCAGCGCTGTCCGAAGACGTTTCCGTGGTCATGTGGCCGGCATGACTAAACACCAAGGCACACGGAACGCTGTTACCTTCCCACCGAAGTGGTACCTATTTATCTACTTGCAATTTCTTGCTTTCGAACTGCTAGGTTGGCAGGAGCTGGAACTAGAGACGGGAGCTCACGCCGTCATGCGGCACCCAGGTCTCAAACTCCTGAACTACAGACCTTCCACAGCCTGCAGTTCAGCGTCTTAACCACTTGAGCCACCGCAGCTATCTATAGCAGTAATTAAAACTGCTAAGCAGGACGCCCACCATTCCGGCATCACTTTAATGGCCTCCAGGGAAATTGCATCTGGTCCCGGCGCCTTCCCGGCCTTAATTTGAGCCATTAACGCAACAATCACTGCATCCTGCACCGGCGTCCACTCAGGACACTCCCCTATACTAATTTCCAGATTCTCGATTTCACTCCTCCCATCTACCGAAAAGATTTTCTGGAAATATTCGTACCAGGCCTTGGTGGTAATTGGGGAATTCATGATACTGTTCCTACCTAGAGCCTCGGAAATCACTGCCCAGAATTTCCTTGCATCATTACAAATTGTAGCTTGCAATAGAGGCTCCCAATTATTTTGAAGGGTGACTTTTTTAAAATCTCTGAATAATTTGCTTAAGGATGCTCTGGCTTCGAAATATTCTGCTGGGAAATGCTTACAACAAGAACTCCTATATATCTGATACATAGATCGCACATAGGCCTTCACTTCAAGGCACTCCCTATCAAACCACGTGGCTTTCTGCTGCCTCTTTCCATTTCTAGCCTGATCCTATCCTGATATCATCACCTCTGCAAGTTGTTTGATGACTCCTTCATAAGCCTGCATCAGGACTGGAGTCCCATTCATAGCCTTAGACTGAGATATAAACTCATTCAGTCTCTGCAAGGTCAAAACCTCACTAACTTTTTGGGCAACTCTTTCGGACCATCTGCACCTGGGTAAACTTTTGCACCCTTACCCTACCATCAAACCCCGAAGATTCTGTTCCCTAGAGTTGGAAATAAAGTTGAGGACCAAAACCAAAGGAAAGTGATCACTCTCAGGACGTCCTAAAATTGAGAAGACGCTCACCTCCTCCTGGAGTGGCAGAGATAACATCATATAATCTATCACAGTGCACCCTCGAGTAGAGGCATAGGTATACTCGCCAGGTGAATCAAAAGGTGGTAAACAATTTAAAATAACTAAATTAAACCTCAGGGCTAGCCGGGCCAGCTGAATACCAGCATTATTAATATGCAGATCTTTAGAGAGTCTTGAATTAAAAAAACCTTTTAGGCGATAAAGATTCTGGGTCAATGCCTATTTTATCCGCTAGTACCATACCATACCATATTCTTGCATTAAGGTCACCCACCAGGACTACTTCCCTGGCTGGCTCCTTCTTTTCCAAAACTTCTAATAATTCATAAAGACTCTCCCATTGCTGTGCCAGCACCGCTTTACCCGCAAAAGGTGGCATATATACATTTATTATAACTAATGTTCTCCCAGGACATTTAACAAGAAATGCCTGGGCTGTTTCCAATCCAGGAGGGGAGAAACCTCAGTATTGGCTTTACTTGACCATGCCATTGCGAGACCTGCCTGATATCTTCCAAATCTCACAGATTTAAAAGCAGGTACAATACGAACATTAAAACCTTCTTTAAAAACTTC